TCTGGCGGGGAATCATTGCTGCCAGGGCCGTTGGATATTTACCACATGGTCTGTGGGCCCCCATGGCTTAGTGGGTTTAGCATAGAACTGCTCGTGGCAAGGCCAGCAGTTGGAAACCAGCAGCCACCCCGAGGGGTGAAACTCCCATAAAGGGAGTCGGTTTGGGAACCCACCCCACAGGGGACATTGTACCCTGCCCTTAGGGCTCCAATGAGGGCAGTGAGTTTGCAGTTTGTTTTTTTTCTAGGCTTAAAAAAAAACGAGCCTGCTGTGTTTGGTCACACATAAGGAACTCACCCCTCATGTAGTGGGTGGAGATCTTGCGACCTTCCCCGCCTCTGCCCTAGAGCTCATTGTTTAGAAGAATACAATGCTCAAGGCAGACTTTGTTTCTGCTAAAACAGGACCGCTGGTGGGTTTTAAGGTAACTTCAGGAGTTTGGGACTTCACGCTAGGGTTTTTTAGTGTTGCTGTTTTTGTTTTCTGGGATAGTCTTAACTCACACTCCCTACGCTAATATCTTCTGCTTAGAGCAGTTCTGACAGGCCTTTGTCTCGTGGTGAACATGCGTATGCTCCTTCTTGTGAGCTTGTGACCGGGCGGAGGCTTGCAGAGCAGAGCTGTCTCCGACTCCAGCTCCTCGCCGAGCTTCCTGGTTCCATCCCTCCTTTCCTTACCCTCCTGAGTGTTGTTCCAGGGTGCACGCTGCCCTTTGGCCTCAAACGGTTGGTCCTTCTAAGGGAAGTGGTGGGTGCTGCTCCCTGGTGACTCTTCCCCGCGGAGAACTGTCTGTTGTTTCTCTGAAAACTTGGTCCTCCGGTGAGGCCATCTGCAGACCTGAAGGTGACAGGCGCAGAGCATCTGCCAGTGTCTGTCTAACCATGGAGGATTAGTCGAGTTTTAAGAAAAACATGATTTGGGGTTTGATTCCACATTTTCCTCCCCTTCCATCCCAGGCCCTCCAATGTGATCCCTCTCTGAGCCGGGCACTACCTAGTTCTTCCGGTCTCAGAGCTGTGGAGACGACTTGGCACAGCCCGTGTGTCTCCTGGTCTCCGCGTCTCTCCTTGCCTCCAGCCGGGGAGAGACCAGCTGTTGCACCTTAGAACTTCTAAGGCTCTCGTCTCATCAAAGTAGGTCGCACAGTGTCTCTGTGAGCTGAGCTGTGCCAGTTGGTCCTGGTGTCCCCCGCCCGCCAAACCCAGCCATCATTTCCTCAAGGCGTTTGGTTACATCTAGGAAATGCGTGTAAATTTTCCCTGGGCTCAGCCCTTTCAAGGATACACATACGTACGTAGTACGTACATACATACATACATACATACATACATATGCTGTTGCAGTGAGGTGCCATCGAGTCAGCTCTGACCCATAGCACCCCGTGCACAACAAAAGAGAACACTGCCCGGTCCTGCACCGTCCCCACCACTGTGCCCAGGCCCGAGCTCATTGCTGGAGCCGCTGTGTCGATCTTTCCCGTTGAGGGCTTTCCTGTTTGTCCTGTCAGACACACACATGTCCAAGGTACGTCCTCGCTCTCCCTCCCAGGCCTCTCGGACCTGCTGTCTGTCTAGGCGTCTACTGGTAGATGCCCACCATGGCAGGATTACTACTTGCCTCTGCTGCCTTTGACTCTTGCAAACCTCCCTCTCCCTGTCTGGCCCACGTCAGCGCGTGGTGAACCTGAGGGTTTTTATGTTGTTATATGTGTAGCAGTTTTCACTGGCATGTGATTCCCAAACTGGACAGTTGACTAGTTGAAAGTTGACTAGTTGAGTCCTGGTAAGTAGAGTTGTCTGGTTATCACCACGGTCGGTTTTAGAGCATGCTCTTCATTCTTGACCTCATCTCCATTAGCTCCCCGTGACCCCCCATTCCCCAAGGAACCACTGAGCCAGTTACTGTCTCCATAGATTGACCTACCCTGGACTCAATAGACAGGAAAACAGTGATAACAAAATAAAACACAACACCTTGGTCGAAAAGAAAGCGGGGAACCGTGAAAACTCGAACACATGTAAAGTGCATCGCAGGGGAGATGGCATGATAACTTGGTCAATTTGAGCCACACCGCATCTGCAGTAATCCGCTTTCCAAAGCGTTCTGCATGCGCTGTATCCCGCCCCTCCTTGCATGTTTTTAAGCACAAGACAGGATGCTAACGCCTCAGCGTGAAACATGGGCCACAGTGGCGCCCTGCTCCGCTGATGGGCTTTCTGAGCCTCCGGGGCCCGTCTTTTATTATTTGTGCTCTCTCCTCTTCCTAGAAAGTTAACGAGTTGATGAAAAGACCCAACGTCAGTCCCAAAGTGAGGGAGCTTCTCGGACAGATTCGTGGCTTTGACAACATCCCAAGGAAAAAGGCAAAATTTCAGGTATGTGTGGTGCTCCCATCCCGGGTGGCAGAGGAGTGGCCGGCCGGCTGTTGCTGACCACTGCCCTTTCTGTGCCCTGGCAGAACTGGATGAAGAACAGCTTAAAGATTCACAACGCCATGCTCCTGGAGCAGGTGTGGGATATCTTCGCCGAAGCGTCCATGAACGTAAGTACGGCCTTAGCTGAGGTGGGCCATGTGGTGGGGCCGTGTGCTGCCCCGCCAGGATGGGGACACCTGCTTCTTGGAGGTCACCACGGCCTCCTGGTGCCATGAGCCTCTCTCTGGCTCCAGGGACAGGAAGGGCAGGTGGGAGGCACTCCTGAATTGTTCCCTGCTGGGTTTGACACTCGGCCTTGCTGTTGGCAGCCCCAGCGCCCAACCACAGCTCCTGCAGGGCTCCTTTTGCCATGAGCAGGGCACACCGAGGAAACTCCGTGCTGTCCCTGCCAGTGTATCACTACACTCCCAGACCCTGGGCCGCCAGGGTGCCCTGAGGAACATGGGCCTGGTGCTTGATCCCCTAGTGCCTCGGTTCCTTTTCTTGGGGTGCAGGGAAGTGTAGATAATGGCATTCATTTGTTCAATAAGCAGGCTGCTGGGTGGCTCAGCCATTCGCACGCAACTACTTGCCTGAAAGGTTGGCTGTTTGAATCCACCCACAGGCAACTGGCCCTCTGCTCCAAAGTCAGGCTTAACCCCCGTCCTGAGCGGTTCCTGCTCCGTGCACGTGGGGTCTCCGTGAGCCGCTCTCCCATCCTTTCTGAGGGCATCTGGGTGTACCTCCACGGCGGATTTGGTGGTTCTTGTGGCAGTCCATAACCCCCGAACCAAACTCAACTGCCACCGTGTTGGTTCTGACTCACAGTGACCCCACAGGGCTGGCAGAACTGCCCCTGGGGTTTCCTTGACTGCTTTTCCCAGGAATTGAAGGCCGCATCGTTCTCCTTCGGAGCGGGCTGGTGGTTTCGAACTGCTTACCTTGCAGTTAGCAAACTACACCACCAGGGCTCCTTGGCAGAACACAGCACTTCAGTGTCTTGTCCAGCACCTCACTCCAACTGCCTTGATCCTTCTGTGGTCACTCAGTGCCCAGCTCTCGTGTGCATTTGATGAGATGAGGTTACAACTCCACCACTTTGGTCAGGCGCACCTTAGTCCTTCAAGGGACGTCTTCAGTGTCCATAGTCTCCAGATTGAGGTTTGACTAGCAGTCTGTTCTCCTCACGTTGACAGGAGTTGATTGACTGTTGAGGGAATCAATGGGGCGGCCGGCTGGGATCTGCAGGCCACTTTGAGAATGTCCCTGCTCGGGAACCTTGTCATTACTCATACCTGCCTTTTACAGGACACCTGTTTTAACAGGTCGTGTCCATGTTGTGACTGAGACTTGAATGGTTGAAATTGCTCTTGTTCAACTGCGGGGTGTCTTTAAAAATGGAAGACGGAGTGTGTCTTCCATTTCTCTTCTGAGCAGTGACAGGAAGAGTTAGCACCGTCAGCTGAGATCATGTGGCCCCCCTGAACCCTGTGGGGGTGACCATTGAGGGCACGTGGCCCTC